TCGACCAGCACACTGCTGCCATCAGAGAAAGCGTTGGCACTAGCCTGTTGGTCCAACTTCTGCTGACAACCTGAACAATTATGCTAATCTGCAGTATTCTTTGAGGTGTCAAACGGTCGTCGCACAACAGTGGTTGTTGTGACCACACAGGACATCCTTCGCGGCGAAGAGGTCACGGTGGATTACGGCGACGACCTTTGGTTTGTCTGTCGCTGTGAGCTGAGTGAATGCCGCCACAGCAACATCCAGGACGAAGAGGATCCGTGAGAAGTGTGACGGCGTTCTATTGCGCGACGGAGCGGTACAGGGGGAGGATGTGGAGAAGAGTTGGTGACACTGTAGGTATCCACGTAAGTGTGAATGAATCCAATGAAGTTGACTAAAAGACACGTGAATGCGTTTGTTCCTTGCAGTTCAAAAAGCGGTGTAGGAAACGACGTGAACAGCCGACGCGCCGTGGTCGACGCTAGGTTGGCGCCAAGGATCTTGGTAGGATATAGCTAACGGTGATATTCGAAAGTTTCGAACCGACCGGGCATCGGCGCGAACTTTTCGCGCGCTGATTTCGCGCGCTCCACGTTGAAGGTGCTAGATGACAGCTTCCTTTCAAGATACAAGTTAAACTGGTGGTTGTGGTGGCTGTAGTTGGAGCAAAACCGTCTCCGCTGGTAGTTCTCACTTCGGCTTTTGCCTCACTTCAAGTGTCACCGAGCACTCCGTCCCCGCCTCTTGTCCGCGGCGCTCACCTGGTAGGAGGACTGCGTGGCCAGCTTCTAATTTGCTAGATCGCTTGTCAATTAACGCTTTGGTGTTTGCATACAGATGGGCAAGAGCTCCGACAACACAAATTACACGATGAACAAGATCGATCGCCTCATGGATCTCGTAGAGCAGGCGCTACCTTTGGGTAGGGACGAGTGGGAGCGCCTTGGCGCCAATTACAATGCCGGTCGCGCCCGAGGATCCCCTGAACGAGAGTTTGCGGCGCAAGTTTAAGGTG